AAGTACCGGTACTTTTTATTTTCCCTTTATCACTGGTTTTTGTGATATAATTATTAGTTTTGTGATCAACTGTTTATCAATTATCTGACATTTTACCTTTTTTCAAATTATAAAGAAAAAATATTTTTAATGATAAATAATTACGAAAATTATAAAATAAGTTGCAACCCTTAGATGTTATCATAGAGATAAATACAAATTAATTGAAAATTTTATTGAAAAAACTATAACAAAATTGTAGAATAATTATATTCTAACATTTGTTGAGAGGTATGAAAGTTTGCTAATAATTAAACATAAATTTTAATATAAATTATAATGCTACATATAAATATGAAATTAAAATATATGGTATTCTTAATTATTATTATTTTCAATATTTCAATATATGGATCGTTAAGGCTGTCATAATTGTCTTTAAATATAAATTTTCCAAACCAATTGTTTTTATAATCTATTCAAATTTATTATAAGTGTCAGAAATAACCACATAAAAAATATTTTCCTGTTATTTCATAACAAGTAAATGTTTATTATTTAATCGATAGAAAGGAATGCGTTTCCAAAACTGCATTTATATTTCGTAAATATTTTCTATTATATTGTGTAAAATAGTTAACAAAACAAATATTATTCTTAAAATGAAAACACAATCTCAACAAAATTATTCAAAATACAACACATTTTTAAATTAAACTGCTTCTTTAACACATGTATTGACAACAAAAATATATTTAATTTACAAATTACATAATTACAATACATATAACATATTTTGTAAATTTTAAAACACATAAAACAAAATTTAAGACAAAGTTCAAAGATTCGGGTTAGGGATACCTGTGCAATGATTTCAGTATTTGAACTCGCTCTAATATTTATATAAAAAGTAAATATAAATAAGTTAAGTTTACGTCAGTTACAAAAATTGAGTTACATTGAATTAAAATCACATAATTATTTATGAAACACAGAACATAAGTTATAATAAAAATAAAAATTGTGTGAATGATTGTGTGAATAACGGAATTATACTACAGTATGTGATATGTGTTCTTATATTACGGTAACTACAAAAGTATTTGGAAAGTGATCTTTATTTTTAAAATTTATCATACTTTCATCAGTTTTAACTAAACGTAAACCTAATTATTGTACTGCATTAAGTTTGAACAAATCGTTAGACATTAAGAGTACAAGTATTAAAAGTGATTTTTAATTTAACAGATGCTACATTACTATCCTAAACTTTAAACTTTAAAATTTAAAGTATAAAATATTTCCAAATTTTAGTTATAACTCAAGTCATTTCATAAAATTCTAGTTATTCTCAAGGATTTAGAACATGTGTAGACAATGATTGAGTCTGGTTTATTTCACTTTATAATAAGACAGCATTTTTGCATTTAATTGTGATATAAATGTTTTATAATTTAATTCCGAAGATGGTTTCGGTTTTAACAGTTATCATACTTATTATACCCCTGTGTTTGACACAAGAGCTCTCAAATAAAGACATTTTAACCGATAGACTACAATTGGCTGCACTCCAAGTCATTTCATTTCATTCATTCAATCACTCATTAAATGACGAAGACTTTGGACAAGACATCAGTGGAGACAATGAAACGACACTCAGAAGAAGTACCCGATCGGTGGCATCGGTCTCAAAGATCCCTCATTTGGACGCAACTAATCGACTCATTCCCGGACCGGAACTCACGAGAGCACAGAAGATCTCTGATGTTATGATCAATTTGAAGGACAGATATGCTTTCCAACAGTCATATCTTCAGAAAGTCTTGGATTCATTAAGATCTGCGGTGAGGCCTAACTCTAATCGCGTGGTAATGACATCAAGCCTTATAAGAAACCTCACGGTCTTCGGTGGAGTCAACGCCAAACAAATCAAGACTTTGTCGACAATTATTTGGCAAAACTCGAGACTCACTGTCAATGACCTGAAGTTTCGGTTCAGAGATTTGGTGACTCTTATCAAAGCCATCGAACAGAGAATTGTAAGACTTTTCCAAACGACTAGTGATGTTGTGTTGAGGAACAGACACTCTCTTATCACTGGACACAAGCGGTTTGTCGGACATAACGAAGTCTCTGCTTTGAACACCACTTCTGTGATCGTCGGTTCTGTCGGTCGACAAGATTTGCGTCAAATAATGGGTAATTTATACCGGAAGAGCAGACCACAAGTCATACGAGGCATTAAACATGTGGTCAAACCTAATTTCGTCAAACATTTCCTAAACTATCGGCTTATAAACGGAATTGATTTAAATAAACAAATCGTAACCACAAATAGCCCTCAAATTATATTCGGTATAATTGGTTTCAATTCTCCATTGATTGTCGGCAAACACTTGCAAATCAAGGGGCGGTTTAATGGCCTTAAGGTGGAAGACCTGGTTTTCCTTAATCGACCGGAAGTTGTATTGTCTCCCAAACTATTAACTTCGCCTCTAATAATAGCAAATCAAGTCGATTCATTGACCATCGATGGTCTCAATCTGCAGAAACTAACCCAAAGTGTTCTCCTCTCTAATGGATTTCCGCAAAGAGTTAACTCAAGACTAATAATCTTAAAGCCATTAAACTCTAAGAATATAACAGTGAACGGAATGGTCAATCACATTGACATCTCTCTGATGGCCTCCCAATTGGTATACAAGAACCGGCCGATTCTGGTGAGAGGCAAAAAGTTCTTCATTTTGGATGACTTGCACGTTGAGAACAATCTCATTGTTGGCAAACGTTTAGACGGATTCGCCATCCCTTCTGATCTGCTGTTAAGAAATCGAAATCAAGTAATATATCATTTTTATCATAAATTATTATTAGTTTNAAAAAGTTCTTCATTTTGGATGACTTGCACGTTGAGAACAATCTCATTGTTGGCAAACGTTTAGACGGATTCGCCATCCCTTCTGATCTGCTGTTAAGAAATCGAAATCAAGTAATATATCATTTTTATCATAAATTATTATTAGTTTTTTATCAGTTTTATTAATATATTCTTTTTATTTATTATTATTTAACAATTGTCTAGGTCATACGAGGAACAAAATATTTTAGAGGACATACAGTTTTTGAGGGAAGGGTAACCGCTAATGGTTTCGTCGACGGCTTGCGTTTACCACAAGATATAGTAACCCTCACTCGCAATGAGACAATTTTTGGACCAATTGTTTTCCCGCAAAGCATTGCCGCCAATCAAGACATCGATGCCCGTCGTCTGGTCGATGGCGTCGACTTATCTGACTTAAGACAATACACGATAAAACTTAACGACAAACTCATTCAGAGTAACGTTCACTTCCATAAGACGGTTACTGTGGGCGCCGTTGATTTGATAGGCACTGTAAATGATATCAATTTGGGTCATCTCATGAGCGAAGCCATCTTCACCGACAATCCCGTCGTCAACATAACGGGCACTAAATATTTCGGATCACCCGTTCAGATGAAGCAGTTGTTTGCCGATCGGGTCAATGGTGTCAACCTATTTGATCTGTTATCTACCCGTCAAAACGATGTCGTCTTAACGCCTAAAGTCTTTACATCTGTCACTTCAATCAAATCACTGGATGTGAAAGGCCTGGTCGGAGGCGCAAACATCACTGATCTCTATAACAACAGAATATCTCTAACAAAACCCGAGACTATAACCGGAACCAAGAATTTTGTTGAAGAAATCCATGTGAGAGGCGGTCTGACTGTCAACAAAATCGATGGCATGACTCCACAAATTGATTTTGTCCTCAAGTCGAGGCCTCAACACATAACCGGCGCAAAGATATTCACTAAGACTTTGAATGCAAATAAGTTGGTCTCACAAAACCCAACGAGAGTTAAGGGAAGAGTTGACAACATATCGGTTAACGAACTCTACTCTCGAGTTATACCGCTTAACGCCAACAATACCTTTCCTCTGTCTGTAGTCCTAATTAATTGCAACTCATCTCATATCCAAGTCTTCAGGGATGTGAATGGACTCAATATGACAGACTTTGCACACAATGTGATGTCTCTGACCCAACCGCAGGTGGTTTTCGCGCCCAAACATCTGAGAGGTGAACAAACATTTTTTCGGATCGAGACATCGAAAGGCATTTCCGGTGTTTCGTTATCTTATCTGAAGGCAAATGCTATCCATTTGAACCGATTGACCCAAATCAGAGCGCCCATCACTTTCACACATCCCGTTGTCTTCAATAAACCTCTGGCACTGAACGGAGTGCTCAATGGGATCAATACAACCTATTTAGCCAATGATGCCGTCTATAAGAATATAAATAATATCATTTCGGGACAAAATGTATTCAAATCCGGTTTTCGAGTCAACGGAAACATTCATGCCTTCAGCTTCAATGGCATGGATCTCTCAAACGAGTTATTCACTAAAACTAGAGATCATGTATTGAAACGAAATGTTCAGTTCACGAGAAATGTTCACATAAACGGAGACATCGGACTGAACGGCAGAATCAATGGACTCGATCTCTCGGAGTTTAATGAAAGGGTTATGAAGACAAACACCAGGAATATCATCGCCGGTAACTTAGAACTGATTGGATCGACAAAAGTGATGACAAACATCAATATCGAGGGAAGACTTAATGGTATCAATTTGACTCATCTCTTCAATGATGCCGTTTTCATGAATTCAAACCAAGAGATAACTGGAGTCAAGACCATTATAGCTCCCGTCCATGTGTTGGGACACTTGAACACTACATCTCTTAATAATATGAATGTCCCGCACCTGTTGGGAGACATCGTATATATTAATAGTATTAACGAACAGTATATCTCTGCTCCCAAAGTCTTCACAAACGATATATCAATGTTTGGATTGGCACAGAGTAATGGTGTGGCCATTATGGGTCCAATAAATGGCATTAATTTACAAAAACTAGACGTAGAGACGATTAAAATAAATAGAGCCACAAATCTACGGACAGTTAAGAACTTTAAGGACTTCGTTATAATTGCCAATAATTGGACACAAATTATGGGCCGTATTAATGAAGTGGATCTAATGAGAGACGCCATTCTTCTTCATAGTAATAACGGAGAACCTCAAGTAATAAGCGGTAGGAAAGTCTTCGACCGTCTAATCCTTAATGATAATGCCATAGTCAATGGCTTGGTTAATGGATTCCCTCTCAAAGACATCCAAATGAATACATTTTTCATATCTAATGATCAGAGAATAACAGGCCATAAGATATTCCGGGGATTACTTGAGTTGTCGTCTCCTTATAATAGCGTCAGATTTCTGAATGGGTTGAGATTTCCCGAAGACTTCATTACATTAAATGGGAATCAAAATGTGTCGGCACTCTTGACATTTACTAACCCCTTAATTATCAGCAGAAATCTATTTGTCCGGGGTGATGTAAGCAATACCAATCTGACACAGTTGGCCACACAGTCGCTTCTTAGAGATCGACCTCAAGTGTTGTCCCAACCCATGACTTTCGAGTCCATTGTTTTCAGACGGGATGTGAATGTGGACCAACACGTCGATAACGTGGACCTCAGTTCTCTCTCCAATAAAGTAAAGCAGTTTACAAGTGTCGCCAACATTACGAAGGATTTACTGGTCGTTAAGGGTAATCGACATCATTATGTCTCTGACTATCTCTTCAGTTCGTTAGAGAAATCGCTTTTTGAAATCGATTTTTTCAATTTATATCAAAATCTCGATGAGATTCACGGAAATCGTATCCAAGTGTTTGATAACAATGTTTTCACTATAAGTGAGACAATCGGAAGTCCACCAAAAAGTTTTGCCATTAAATACAATACACATTCAGAACTATTTGAGACATCACTCGTGAATCCAAATAACAATGTGTTTCACAAAACATTTATTTTAAACGGAGAGGAGTTTGTTACTCACTGGAGTCCCCACTCATACAACTACTCGGCCCACATCACCAGATCGGGTCAATTAGTGGCACCGATCGGTCACTTCATTAGTTCCGTCGAAGTCCTGAAGATTAATCCGACAAATGCCGTATTGGTGTCATACCAGGCAAATACAGGCAAACTATTGGTACACTCACTGGAAATGGTTGCAAACAAACCCAGGTTTACTCAAATCACTGAAGCTTTAGTGGGAACTGGTATGTGATTGCAATTCATAGCATGTTATTATAAACTAATTTATAAAATTGCATTTTCTAATCAGATACTTCCAAAGTGGTGGCATTTTTGCGACAAAATCAAATTTACGTAGTGGTGGCCAAACACTATGGGCTGAATTGTGTGACCGATAGCTCCGGAACTCTAGTACTAGTGCTCAGAAATTTCCGATCACTCGAATTGATTCAAACAATTCCTATCGTAAGTGTTGAAGATATGGTTCACTTTGAGGACTACGGCCGACACTATTTAGCCATAAGTGACGGATCATCCGCTAAGCAACCAATTCATGACCAAACCATTCATATCTACAGAAGTGAATTCTTTCAACACAAATGCAGCTTTTCTTTGTTCCAAACGCTATCATTTGATAACGCCATCCAATTGTCTGCCTTTACTTACGGCACAATGCATTCAATTCATAATTATTTGATGGCATTTAATACATCTAATATTATAATATGGAAACAAAGGGGTGAATCGGGTTTCAGTCAAAACTGGTTGCTGGACACGAAGAGTGCCACCGCTGTCCTCCCCGTTATGGCCGCCAATAAACTCTTCTTAATTGTCAGTCAAAGTTACAAATGTCACGAATCTATGATTTTTAGGGCCGAAACACGAGGCATAGAGTTGGCGCCTATTGTTTTCCACACCAAATACAATTAAAATTTTATTTTTTGCTCAATTAAATATGCTTTTAAAATTATATATTGTTTTATATGTTAAAATAACTTAATTTAATTTCAATAAACATTATAAACACATAATTTAATAAATTGTTTTATATATTTTGAGTTTATCAAATTTTAAATAAATATTTAGAAAAAGTTTGTTGAGAAATATTTTTATTTTTCAATATTTTAAAACAAACAACTAATCATAAATGGTAATATATTTAAACGATATTAATATTTGTATTTTATAATATAAGTTAATATAATATAAGCAAATCTATAAATAGTTAAAAATTGAGTCAAAGTTGTGTCTCATTAGCATTGACTTGGATGTCGTGATAGCTGTTCCACTGGCGACGGAAATGGTTGGACAGGCGTCTGAAAAAGTCCCGATCGGTGACCGAACGGCGCAATGGATTCAACGTAAAGACGTGTGTTTGGGGTCGCGATGAATGGCTTTCGAGGAGTACCTCCTCATAAGTGGGCGGATTGTCAACGGTGTCAGCGTTGGTCACATTATCTGAATTAATGAGTGATAAGCGTCTGAAGACTGTATTTTGACTGTCATTACTGATTGGCGACACAAAGTACAGGATTTGTCCGTTTCTTAACGATGTTCTGCTTAACGAAGTCCTCAACCTATTAGTCGTTCTGTTAATTAGTGTATCATTTGATTTGTCGGAATTGAATTGATTTGAATTGAACTCATTTCCTATGTTAAGGCTATTATCAGTCCTAAGCGGATATCTCTCTTGGAGTACAGCCTCTGAATAACTCGGAGCCATCGTGTAGTTGTTGATGAGTTCTATGCTGTCTATAGTGGTGTCTCTCGACAAACGACTCAAATCATTAGACGATCCCGAATAGTGTTCGCCAAACAGTTTAATTACCTTAAAGTTAATAAAAGAACTTGCTCAGTTATTATGCCTATTGTGTATGGGTTGGCAAACATGAGTAAGAAAGTGCAAGAGATAGCAATTACTTGGAAGTGAACGTATGATGTTTGGTATTCAATGAGTACACGAAAAGGCCAGGAAAGCAGTAATAAGGAAAATAACCAAAAGGCAAGATGTGATATATACCAGGGCTGACCATTACTGTTGGCATGAGATACCATGTACTCTTGGAAATTAGCGCCAACTAAGTCGAGCCCTTCTCTCATCTCTAAGTAGTCGTCATATCTCTCGTTGTCCTCAAAGAAGTTGGATCTCTGCTCTTCGAACTCATTGGCAGACTCTATGTTCGCGAACGCAAACCCTATTCACGCCAATCAATACAACTCTATTACACACTATTAGAGCCATTAATACAGACCTTAAAGAAGAGGGCATTAAATTAAATCTCCTATTATTTTAGACTTTAATTTCGTTTACTTAAGAAAAAAGTTAGTTTTTCTCGACAAACAATATAAATGTGATGTGTTTAATGCAATCACTAAAACTTCTCTATTTGAATGTCAAATATAAAGTGAGATTTGATTCATTAGATGATAAAATGCCATTAAATAAAGACATTAATCATTATTTTCGCGTCAAATAA